TGAGCAGCAGGGTTGCTGTTTTGGATTCCACATGGGCCAGCGACACTGCCCTCTACAGCTAAGATGGTGAACAACAGCTCAACCTGGAGCTGGGTTGCCGTGAGTCACCAGCAACCGTGTAGGCTGCAGTGGGGCTGCAGTGGGGCTGCAGTGAGCTGCTGTGAGTGGTCGGCAGCCAGTGTGAACAGCTGGCAGCAGGCTTGAGCTGCCGTGAGCCTCTGTGAGTGGCCGTCCAAGGGCCAGTGACCGATCTGCCTCAGCTGGGAAGAGCGCAATGATCACAATACCAACATGGGCCAGTGAGGCGATGTCCTCTACAACTAGACTGAAGAACAAAATGACAGCAACTTGTCTGTTCCCCTTCCTCAATTCTCCAATGCTGTTCCCTCCCCCAATTCCCCAATAAATTCTTTAAAAAATAAATAAATACAAAATAAAATAAATGTAAGAGGGACTGTAATTTCCCATGGACCCCCAAGGTCTCTAGGTACTAGACATCTGACTTTCCCAGGCAACTAGATGCTAAAGTAGCCCACCTCTGACAACGTTACTTACTCATGATTCTATTCTAAGTAGGCAGTGTAACAGGTAGAACTCCCATGTGTCCAGGAATCCCTGGACCTAGCTCACCTCTCTGTGGGATGATGGGAGAACTGTAAACCTGTGATGTCTTACCGACCCTTCAACTGTAAATTTCCCTAATCAAATCTTTGTGGCATTTATGCAGAATCCTCTTGTTCATAATGACTAGAAGCAAATCTTTGGAACAAAAGGACCCCAATTGCTTATATCAGATAATGAGAAAGAGGCGAGCTGGAGACAACTTGTTCTCTGTCATTCATACATTTGCTTTTTCATTTAGTCAGTATGAATTGAACACTTATTGTTAGACAGGGTGCTAGATACCGTGTTTATAAAGATGATGGAGACACTATCTCAGCCTGGCAGTGGGGATAAACATGTTTACCAAAAATTACAGTGCCATGTAGTAAGCACTATGTAACAAGGCACCATGGGAGTACAGGAGACTTCTTTGTTTGTAAGTAACAGAAACCAAATCAGACTGACTTAAGCAAAAGGAACTTATCAGGAAGACGTTGAAGGCTCATAGAATCAATGTAGTCAGTCAGGAATCAAAATGTCTCTGGAAGTAGAGAGGCTGATGCTGTTACAGGGATGGATTGGAATCCAATTCTTTTAGGACCTTCACCTCTCTGCTCCAGACTCCATGGAGGATAAATCTAATGGGTCTAGTTAGGGAAGACAAGGCTTCTTATTACATTCCTAAGAATGTATCCACTGGGGAAGACTTACCTCCTTAAAAGGAAATTGGCATGGTGAGAAAGGTAAAAGGAATGATGGGAAGCCACCAAACAGCAAATTCCCTCTTCAGGCACCCTACTCTGGCTAAGTGAAATAAAGAAATCTTCACAGATGAAGTGACATTTTAGATAGTTTTTGAAAGGTGCGTAAGAGTTTGTCAGGCCAAGAAGATGAAACTGGCATTTCATTTGGAGGAAATAGTCTATGCAAATGACCATGGGTGTGAAATGATGGGGGTGGGGTCAGTGTGGCTTGAATGAAGTATGAGGACTTGAGTGACATGGCTGGTTTTGTGGTCCAGGCTGGCTGTGGAAGTAATTGATACTGAGGGAGTGGACAGAGGAGTAAGAGGGCGGGAGATGAAGGAGTTGAGGTCATTGAAAAGGTGAAGGCAGATTTGGTAGGAGAAAGAGAGAGAGAAGTGGCAGTAAGGAGGCTCTGATCAGAGACAATTTTGGAGTTTGAAATCATATTGGTGAAATAGCTCTACATGTGGCTGAGGAGAAATAGAGACCAAGATGACTAGAACTGAGGAGGTTTAAGATATAAGGCAAGGTTTTCAACATGGATATTTAACTCCTCAAGTGTTGGTAGCCTACAGTCATTGACTGATGTGGGGGTAAAACAGCTCTACCCACTCCCTATGGGAAGAGGGCAGTCCATTAGGACAATTCACTCTTGAAAGCTCTAAACTTCTCCTGAAACCCTATCTTTGCTCAGCTCCTTCCCTTGCCCCATCCTGCATTTTTCACTCTTTTATATGTTTTATCACAAGATCTAAAACCTTAACATTAAAATAAATACCATCTAAATCATCTAGAAAAAGACAAAGACAAATAAATTCATTATTTTCAATTTCAAGTTCTAATTACATCATGAACCATATGAAGGCTGATTGAGTCAAACAAATTAACAATTGAACTAGGAGATAAACATCTTTTAGTATGACTAAAAATCAGGTGCTTTCACCATTAAAATGATACAAAGAGATAAAAA